TGGGAACTTGTTGTTCCATTTGAGTCTTATCAGAATCAGTAATCACTAAGCGATTGTGAAAATTCTGCCAATTCACTGTAATTATGGTGCTTAGTTAGTTGGACTGTTGTATGAAATTGAGCTCTCTTTGTGTAAATCAATTTTGATTATAGGGTGGAATTGTTCGTGTTCAAGGCTCTGAGTTTTGGCATATGGCTAAAGTTCTAAGAATGAAAACAGATGACAGGTAATTACTACTATTACATTCGAAAGTTATGAACATTTCACAATGTTACATTCATGAAAGACATAAAAAATGAGTTGTTGTATGATATCTTGCCTCAATCTTGAATTGTTCATAGTAAACCAATAAGCCAATTTTTCATAGTAACGTTTTTTTATGCATTCATTATCATGATGAATTCAGTTGTGTAATGATCGCATCAAAAGTAACTCTGAAATGTAATTAGGCCAACATTTTCTTTGATTTAAGATCACTTAAGCTTGGATTTTATAGAAAATAAGTAATTACTTGCACCCTTTTTCTATGCAAGGGTAGAACTCTTTAATGGCAAAGGAGGTTTGGTAGAAGGTTGTATACAAAGCATAGACAAAACTGGAGTTGATTTTATCGCACAAGAAGATCAGAAGGTGATCCTTCCTCAGGGCATGCAGTGGCAGGTGTTTGCAGCTTTTGGTATGAAATGAAACTGCTCTAAACATGAAAAATATCGCCGGTTTTTTTTATTCCCTGGTTAGCTTGAGTCATGATAGATTTAAAATGTTGTGTTGTCAGGCACTTTGAAGGGTGGTCGAGCGGATTGGCTAATTGAGAAATGTACAGTATGTATCTACTTCTAGTATGTCCTGTATAAATCACCCATTGAATATATGTATATGCTCATCTAAGGAACTTGGAGCAAGCAGTGTCACACCACTTTTAACAGAAAGATCTTCCATAATCTCTGAAAACCGGGTTGACAGATTGGAACGTGTTAGTTTTGCTGCTGCTAAGCAATGTAAGTATAGTGGAGGGAAACGATTGATTAGTTTATCTTGCTCTTCTTTTTCCTTGGCACTATAGTTGTATGCTCACAAGCTATTTTCCTTCTCTTTTACTGTCACACAGGCCAAAGGCTACATCAAATGGTACTGAGCCCTCCAATCAAATTTAGTACCCTCTTGGATCATGTATGTTTCAACATCTCTCTAAGCAGACTATAAGATCCTTGGTTTATAGAACTCCTCATGGTCTTTTACAAAACTTGCCTGAACACCTTTCGGGTTTTACTAGATTTCCAAGTCAAAACTATGTTTGGTTGCTACAGCAGAAGCTACACCACTTCTCAATGCAGTAAACTCCTCAGCAAAAGAATCCAGCGGACTATTAATCGTTGGACCAGAAGGCGGTAAGAAACCATTTCTTCAATACTTTTCTGATGCAATTCTGTGTCTTAAAACGTGTGCCTGATTTCCTATGCTTTCACAATGTCTGAATCATTGGTTAGTGCCCGAGTAGACACAAAATGAACTCTCTTTTTATGACTTATGTTAATGAGTACAATCTAACAGTAAACAATGAATTTGGAGCAGACTTCACGAAGAAAGAGGTGGAGTTGATGTTGGAAGCAGGCGGCACAGCGGTTGGACTTGGGCCACACCGGTTGAGAGTTGAGACTGCAACCATTGCTCTTCTGGCAACTCTAGTGATGTGGTCTGACTCTCAAGAAATGATCTAATAAGCTTGAGCTTGTTAGGCTTTAGCTTTTGTTGCCTTTGGGGTTTATCTCGTGTTATGTGATTTTGGTTAGGTAATGCCTCTGGATTTTATTGATTAGAGACGAAGAATTTTTTAATATTATAGCCATATATTTATATATTTTTCTTTACATTATGAGATCAGTAAATCACAAAAAGGTTCTAGGTGAAACAAGAATTCGAAAAACGATTATAAATAGATTGCAAAACACAAGTTAACCTACAAATTGAGTTTGAGAGCATTAAAGTCATAACAAAAGAAGAGACATGATACATACTTGTAGAGAGCTAAGCAATTTGTCCTGATGATTAACAGAAATAAAACAAAGCACATGAACAGCGAAGAACAAGCTTTGCAAAAGTTACCACTTACCAACTCCCTAAGAAGGATGATCAACTTGGCGGACGAGGTACTGAGTCCATCCACTTTGGAAGCACAAATTGGGATAACATGAGAACCCTAGAAGGTTTGTACATACCTTCCATTTACCTCTTCGAATCACGTGTGTTAAATTGATAACAATCTTCATTTCTACTACGACCCTCTGATTTCCGTTGAACAATAAACTTTTGCGTCTTCAAGTTACCCAATACCATAGATAGACGATATCAGTATCAAACGGATTCATTGCCATGGGAAAATAGTCTAAATCAAATCCGACAGTTGCCATGTTGGTTTCCCATGACAATTGCCACGATTCATTACTCTCAGAGTTGTTATCATTCAGCCTCCAAACCCTCAATCTTCCATATAGTACTTGAATGTAGATAACATCTCCTCTTGATGTAGTCAAGCATCTCTTAACGCGTTGCCTACCTGTGACAGGGAGAGGTATAACCCGACATTTATCATCAACTTCTTCAGGGTCATAAAAGTCATGAGCTAGAAGGAATCCAGGATCAGTAGGAGACGAATCCCGTTCCCTCAAATAATACATCCCGTCGAGATTCTCGGGAGAATAATACGTAAGAATCAGGTAGTGGACGGGACGAGCGCAGAGCAGTCGCTTAAAATGGTCTGACTCTCAAGGGTTCCTCTAAATGGTGATTATGCTTCAGTTTTTGTTGCCTTTAGGCCTTGTATTGTGTTCTGAGATTTGGTTAGGGAAAGTCTCTGGATTTAATTGAT